CGTGGGTGAAGCTGGAGATGACAGAAAGGTCCCTCCACGCCCGCTGCAGGTCACAGCACCTCGTGGCGTATAAGCTCACCTGGCTGGGAAGCAGGAGGGGCAGGGCCGCCACGGCACCTGGGAGCTGCTGCTGTCGGGGGCGCCCGCCCGCCTGAAACGCTGGGGGAGCCTGGGGGTCTCAGGGCGCGGCGCGACTCTGCTGTGAAAGGCGTCTGTCGGGGCCAGATGGGGGTCACCGCGGCTGTGTGCAGCCACCCTTAGCCACCATTAGGGCCACACCCTCGGCTCACTGTGTTGGGTCAGACAAGTATTTGACGGAACCCTCAGGACGTGGAGGGCAGGGTTCTGGATGGCACTGAGGTTACAACGGTTACAGTGGTGGACAAGCCAGGCCAAGTCCTGATGCTCACGGAGTCTAGGTTCTGGAAGAAGAAAAGGACGATGAACCAGCAGGGAAGGTTCCTGACAAGTGCTGTGTACCTGGGAAATGAGGTTGCGTGCTAAGGGACCGCTGGGGGACCGCTGAGAGGGAGGGAGGCCAGCGGGGGGAGCTGAGTGCGGAGGTGGGGGCTGCCGGGAAGGTGCCCACGGTCTGAGTGGGACAGCGCTGTATAGAAGGCACGGTGGGGGAGGGGGACACTGGGGAGCTGGGAGAGGCAGGCTGGGGTTAGGTCTTGGGGGGCCCTTGATGACCCTGGTCAGATGCCGGGTTTAATTCTAAGCGTACTGGGAAGTCACTTGTGGGTTTTGGGCAGAAGATTGACACGATCTGAAACCTGCTTCACAAAGGTCACCTGGCTGTGGTGGGGCCACACGTGGAGGCAGGGAGGCCTCGAGGGGCGGTGGGTGGGTGACTGAGAGCAGGTGCAGGGCAGACGAGGGAGAGCCGGATGGGGGGCAGGTGTGAACTCCAGGCAGGTGGGAGGGCTCCTGCGTTTCTGGCCTAAGTAAGTGGGGAGACAGAGGCCGATCACTGAGGTGGGGGGGAGGCGGAGCGCACTTGGGGGGTCCATGATTCTTGCCCAGCCACGGCAGCTCAGGATGCCACTGCACATGCAGGTGGGAAGGTCAACGAGCAGTGGTGTCCATCCCCCAACGAATGTTCAGAGCACCCATTCCAGGTCAGCGAGTGCTTCCTGATCACTGGGGACACAGCAGCCATCAAAGTGGAGTGAGTCATCGTGAGCTCACAGGAGCTCCCACTGGGATTAGGAGAGGCAGGTGATAAAGCTCTGGATTCGGAAGTGGGGATGGGGAGCAGCAGGGCTGCCAACACTATCTTCTGAGTCAAGTGTGCTGGAAGTTGTGGGTGAGACCAGCTAAGCGGAAAGGTGAGGAGTCCAAGGACAGAGTTCAGGGCATTCCAACACTTAGAAGATTGGAAGAGGAGGAGGATCCATGAAAGGACAGAGAGGGAGTGGCCAGGAGGCAGGGGACAGTCAGGGGTGTGGGGACACAGAGGTGCCTCAGGAGGGAGGGCATGGTTAACTGTCACCCTGAGAGGCCCCCTGAGATGTGGAGATGGGCAACCGTGCCCTGGCTTTGGAAGCGCAGTTCATCTGAGCAAGATTGCTCCGCGGAGTGGTGGGGGCAAAATGGGCATGCTCCCCACTTCCTCCCCTCACCCCACTCCAGCCCTCTGGCCCAGCCCATCCTGCCCCATCCTCGTCTGTCCCGTCTCAACGTGAGTCATGCAGCGACCCGGGATTTAGGTCCATCTTCCTCCCTGGCCATCCTCTCCTCACCCAGAGCTTGGTCTGAGGGCCAGGCCAGCAAGTGTCGTGTGTGCAGGTGCTCGAAGGGGAGGCCAGGACGCAGTATGGCTGAACCCCACTGGGGGCCCTACCCATGCTGGAGCCCTGCTGGGGATGCCGGCCCCCACACTCCTCTGTGCAGCCCGTCCTTGCGTCTGTCTACTTAGCAACGCTCGTCCTTCACAGCTCAGGAAAAATTACCAAGAATGTTATTGACTCTAATTTTAATTTGTCTAGCACTCTTGTTAATGATGTCTATTTAAGACATCTATTAAAGGCCCACGAGGTTAATTAAATGGACAATTCCAATACAGTTCTATTAGAACCCCCCTATTAAATTAATATTATAGACATTTAACAGATGTCTTACTTAGGCATTATAGCTAAGAAATGCAAACTAAATTAAAACCAAAGCCATTGTCCAGAAAGAAAGCTTTTTACCATAATTTATGGCTTGTGGGGGGAACGTTCATGTTTACTCTTCAGGACCCGAGAGATCCGTCATCTGACAATCTTTTTCCAGCATCCGGAAAACACCATCCTGAGAGTCCCAAATCTTCTATCACAGTCCAGACGTCAGAGCTGGAAGACACTTTAGACGCCATCTGGAGTCCACGATCCTCACACTTCAGTGATGGAGGAGGCAGCTGGGGTCTGAGAGACCCACGAAGCTGTCTGGGCCCTGCCCCTGGAGTCTTGACTGCAGCCCAGGAGCTGGCTGCTTTTAACAGGTGTCCTGCCGACCCCGATGCAGACGCAGGAAGTTCCAGGATCTCCCTTCAGGAAACCCTCATCTGGTCTCATGGCCCCACTTGCCAGATGGTGACACGGAGGTCCCCAAAGACATCAGTACTGGGCGAATGAGTCAGCAGGATTCCGCACCTTGCCCCGTGGCTTACAACTTCTCTAGCACCTCTCTCCTCCCACTGAACCGGGCAGAACCTGACGCACCTCCTATGGGTTTGGGACCGGTGGCCAGAGCCCCCCCAACCCCTTCCCACCTTCCTTCCTGCTGGCCCCGGGTCTCATGGGCAGGTGATGTCCTGGGGCCTCCACGACTGCTCTGCCGGCCTGGTCCTGAGCCCGTGTCACTCTTCACAGCCCACAGCTGCCTGGATTGAGCCCCCTCCTCCAGGGAGCCTCCCTGTCCGCCCTGCCACCTGTGCATGCGTTTCTTGCCCCACCACTGTGCCTGGCCCCGATGGGAGGGTGAGAGAGGAGCTCAGTGGTTTGCAGAAGTGGAAGGGAAGCTGGCGATGGAGGGGCGGCTGGCCCTAAGTTCCTGTCTGAGCCAGTCCTGGAACCCAGGGGTGAGGGGAGTTCGGGGTCCAGCAGCTGCGCTGGCTGAACTGACTAGTGGCACAAGGCCCCTGAGCAGGGGTGCGGGCAGGCCAGGCCAGGGTCTGAGGATGGGAGCCAGGGTGGGTACTGCGGCCTTTCTGAGGGGCTCCTGTTCTGGGTGGGGCAGCTCCACGGCTATCATGGACCGAACTACGTCTCCACAAATTCCTGTCAAAGTCCTCATTCCCAATGTGGCTGCACTGAGAAAAAGAGAAAAAGGTGAAATGCGGTGATAAAGGTGGAGCCGTATCCCATAGGGCTGGTGTCCTAAGAAGAGGAGGAAGAGACAACAGATCTCTCTCTCTCCCCACAGGCATGCACCGAGGAAGGCCACGTGAGGACACAGCAAGAAGGTGGCCGAGGAAAAAGCACTCACCAGACCCCAACCTTGAGGGCACCTTAATCTTGGACTTCCAGCCTCTGGAGCGGCGCAGGAGAATGTTCTGTTGTTTACACAGCCCATCTGCAGAGTTTTGTTACGGCAGTCCAAGCTAACACAGTGGCCATGACCCATGCCGTCCCTCACCTTCCCCTCCAGGTGCTTCATCCTTTTCTTCCCCTGGAGAGGCTCCGGCCTGTCCTCTGTGGGCCCTACACTAAGGTCCGGTCCTCCACACACAGACTCGGCTCTGGGGAATATAAAGGGCCCTCGGGTCCACTCACTTCTTAGAGACCAGTGGGTCCCTGGGCTGCGGTCTCCTGGCCCTGGGGCTCCTGAGTCTCGTCCCGAGGTGGTCACCACTCTGCTGCTCCGCGGGCCTCTCCGGTTTCTCCACTGTGTGGACTGACACATGAGGCCGGTGTAGCTGTGTCTCCCACAGGCCCACACCTCCAAGGCCGCAGCTGTACTGGGGTCGTGCTCCCGGGGCAGTGGAGGTGGGAGACTGGACTGCAAGCTACCACAGCGCCCCCCACCCACCGGCCCTGTGCCACAGCTGAGGCCTCAGCCCGGTTCTGGGGAGCAGCTAGCGCAGCTTCATCGGGATGCTCCCTGGGGGCCGGCGTCCTGCCTGGCCTGGGCCCTCGGGGGATGGCACGGTCCTCAGGGCACAGGACCCGGTGGCCCCAGGGTGGGCTGTGGGGACAACAGGGCATCCTGGAAACAGGCAGGACAGTGGTGAGTGTTCTTTGTCAAGTGTCCATGGGGAAGGGGGGAGAGAAGGCTACTAAGGCAACAGCCATTCACACGGAAACTGGAGTCTGCGCCATGAAAACCGGATTTCACAAGCCAAGTGGCACCAACGATTCCGGAAAGCAGCTGCATGTTTACACGTTGGCCGCCTTCTCCCTTACAGGGCAGTGGGCACGAGCAGAGTGCTTGAGGGAGTCGTAGCACCCAGGCCGTTACCCGCGTGGCACATTCGGACGCTCCGTGGAAGGCAGGGACCTCCTCAGCGGAGCCCAGGTGACCACGTTACACACGTAAAGCAGGGTCTTCTCATCCCTGTGGTCAAAAGCATGGCTCTGCAGCCAGACCGTGGGGGTCAAATCCCAGCTCAATGCTCTCAGGTGGCGAGGCCCTGGCCGAGCGAGCATGGAGGCTGAGTCCGTTTTGGCAAAACCAGGCCATCCGAGCACAGGGCTCAGCAGCCGGGCCAGCTGCCCTGTCCCTGGTGGTGCTGGGACCTGCGACCTGCGGCACAGGGACTGATGGCGGCAGCGGGAGCGCGTCCGAGCCGACTCTGGACCTGACAAGCCACAGACCCCACACGGACGGGCGCACCCCGAACCTCGGGGAGGCGCAGTGGCCCCGAGCGAGGCCTTCCTGCTCTCCCGTCAGAGTCGGAGTTCGCATTCCCTCCCCAGGGCCTTTCTCCTCCAGTGCGGGGCCCCAGCGGGTCACACGGACAAAGCCAAGTGACCGGCACCGCTGCTTCTCCTGGAGCAAAAGAAAAAACTCAGGGATTTGTTTATGTTTTATGATTACATAAACAGCGGATTCATCACAGAACACTCAGGAGACACAGAAAAGGATGCAAAATAAAAACCTAATCATGCCACCAGTCAGGTCAACCTGTGCTTATCCTGCCAGGCTTTTCTCTCAATGACCTTGGGGTCAAAATCGTCTCCGCAGCAAAGACCTCACAGGTCAACTGTCCCCTTTGCTTTGAATTTCTTGGCAGATCGCTCACTTGACCGAAGCCGGAATTTGCTTCCATAAATGTAGGAAATGAAGCCATCGATTTCCACTGTGAACACACAGTTTAGCTTGGGGACAACTGAAAAACAAACAAACAAACAAACAAACAGGAGGAAAAAGGACAAGAGAAAAAAATCCTGACAGGTAAGTTCACGTTGATGCACGATACTATTCCTAAAATGTCTGTATTAACACGTAAGCTAATAAGAAATGGAGAGTCCACAAAGCTTTAGCAGCACCAGGATTATACGGCTCTATTTTGCCATAGGACCGATTTATTCAGATTTTAAATATAACTCAACACCTAATTTTCAGGGTCAAAGGCTCTAAGCCAAACTCCCAGAAAAAGTGCCAGAAGCAGGTCTTCCCACATAATTTTCAGATGGACTCAGGGCTTTATGCTCAGTGATGACACATAGACACCACTTTCTGAGGTTTAAAATGAGACAAGGATAAACAGGGAAGCGGAAGGAAGCAAAGAGAAAAATCAAGCTCCAAAATTAAAGGAACCAAAACCTCCCACCGGTTTCACAATCTCAGATTTGTGGGCAAGGGGTGTAGAAATCTCGACAGCCCGGCTGCGTACGCTCGTCTCTGCTAGAACAACGAGCTCTGGCACACCTGGTGGGTGAGCCTGCACTTGCCTTCCCGGAACCCAAAGGGTCACCAGAAAGGGCAAGATCCTGGAACTCCAGGGACGGGCACTACCCTAGCTGCCCTCACGGTCTGCTTAGCTCCGCTCCTCCGGCGCGCGGCAGCTCTGGGGCAGGGGAGGGTCTCAGGCATGGAAACAGACCCACGTATCTGGAAGCAAGCCAGGCAGCCCTTCCTCCTGGCGCATCTGGCTGCGGCTGCTGCCTGGGCTCCAAGATGCCCTGGGGAGAGCCATGAGGGCAGGGGGTGCGCTCGCCAGGCGTGCAATGCACGGTCAGCAGGTATCTGCAATCTGTGCTGATGTGCGAGGCCAAACCGACCCGCTGAAGCCACGGGGAAAGGGCTGACGAAGCCGGGTGGGCCACAGGCCCCAACACCCTGAGACAGTCACATACCTTTCAGGCGGTCTTCTTTGGTGAGGATTTTGAAAACGTGCTTTGTTTCCTGTAGGAGGATTCCTGTAACACCCACATAGGAGGGGCATTTGGATTTTGTGACTGCAAAGGAAAAGGGCATTCAAGGCCTCAGCCTCGGTGGTGCTGGGGGAGCCACAACCAGCTAGGTGGGGGCGGTGGGGAGTGGGGGGCTCCTCAGCCGGACAGGGACCAAGCTGGATGAGAACCCCGGGTCCCAATCCCCTGCCTGTGGCTCTCCAGTCTCTGGGCTGCTTCGACAAGGTGTCCTTCGGAGGGCCTGCAGCCATGGGTGTCTTGGGAGGGACTATGGAGCCAAGAGGTCACGTGTGTGTCCAGCACCACCAAGAGCCACAGGTTGCTGGGACGGGGCCAAGTGTCACTGATGGGATCTGAAGGAACACCTGTCCGTCATGGCCTTCCCATGACGTCCCAAACTCTGGCCAGCATGGAATCTTGCTGCGGGCTGTGGGGCAGTGAGTGAGGCGAGCTGCTACCACAGGCAGCTGGCCCCTCAGCTCTCCTGACCCATGTCCCAGCGTAACCTGCAGCTGTGCACTGAGCACCTCCTACGTGCCTGGCGCTGTCTGAGGTCGGTGCCGGGCACGGCAGTGAACAAGACTGTTCTAGGTTCTGCTCTCAAGGAGCTGATGTTCTAACGGTAGGAGGGAATTGTGTACCATGTCAGACAACTGCATTTTCTGATAGTGGTAACTGTTATGAAGAAAAAACAGAAGGTAATGGGGAGGAGGGTCACCCGTAGGCCCTCAGAGGGAGTGACATCTGAGTAGGGACCTGAATACTGAGAAGCAGTCAGTCTGTGAACACACAGAACTCTGGGCAGAGGGAAGGAACAAATGCAAAAGCCCTGAGGTGGGGCCAAGCCTGGCGTGTGAGAAGCAGAAAGCAGGCCGATGTGGTTAGACCTGGTGCTCGATAAAGTCAGAGAGGCCTTTTAGACCACAGTAAGGAAGCAGAAGACAAACACGGCCTGAATTTTGGTATAAAACCTTCCCTCTGGCTGCCTGGTTGGGGGAGAAGCAGTGTGTCAGCAGGGAGAGGGTTAGGCAGCTTCTACAGGAACCCAGGGGAGACGGTGATGGCTCGGATTCGGGTGCTAGGACATGCTGATGGATTGGTGCTGAGGCATCAGGGAAGAAGAAACACGATCCCACCCAGGTTTTGGGCCTGAACAACCAGGGTAAACACTGGTACCATGACCGGAGCTGGGGAACGCTGGGGCAGGGGCTGAGGTGAGGAGGCCAGAGTTGTTGTGCGTATAGAAAAGTTGTGATGCCTCCTGGACATGTGGGTGGCTGTGTGCAGTGGCGGTTGGATGAATGAAGACGTTCACGGGAAGGTCTGCCCTGGAGACACCACTGGGAGCTGAGAGTCCCTGCTGAGACTGGCAACTGCGGGCAGATGGATGAAACGGACTTTCTGTTCAGGGCTGGGGGCACGTGCCACCAGCTGTGTGCCCCCTGGGAGAGCACTAGGGGTCCCTGTGTGGAAAGGCACACGAAGACCATTCAGAGTGTATTCAAAAAGTGGCCAGAACGGGCTCAGGTAGCTAGTCATCTCCCACCCTCAATGCTGGTGACCTGGAAATACCCACGTGACAAGGAGTGTGTCTAGCCCTGTGGCACAGGGCCACGCTGCCACCGAGTGACGGCGTGGGCATGCGGGGGACCATGTGCTCTTAGGCAAGGTACCTGAAACAAGAGCCCCATGAAGATCTGCCTTTAACAGCTTGGCCTGAATCATCTGTGGCTGCCTAGGAGGGAAACAGAAGCCCTCAGTGTTGAGCATGATCAAGAGTTCCAAGGGCGCACACAGGTCTACAAACTTCTGCAGCCAGCTGGCTCGGAAGGCTGCGTTTACAGTCATCGTAAGCCTTGGGTTCTGCCCCAGAGGGCAAGGGTTCAGACATGCAACTCACGTGTCTGGCTTGAGACCACCGCACAGGTCCCGGATGTATTGTTTCCAGAGTTCATGTAGAGGGAGAAAAAGACTGTACCTGTGGCAAAGTTAGAAGTAAAAAGTTAGGCGACATGAGCTTGGGACAAGAGCACAGAGCATGGCCTGATGCCAAGGACCCCAAGCTGGGTCACTGGGGACTGGCTGCGGATGCTAGTTCTAGACTGGATAACCCGACTGACTACAGTCCAGTGCTTCCCCCTCCTGAACCTCAGTTTCTGCTGCTAGAACCCTCCTGAGGCTCAAGGAGGGGAAGAAGGGGGTGCCCTCCTTTGCCCCTCCCTCCTTCCTGCTAGAAGATGCAGCCTGGACAGCTGGAGCTCCAGCAGACCCCTCAGACCAGGAGGCACCATGCACAGATGGTGGAGAAGCAGGGTGCTCCCAGGGCAGCACTGCCGAGTCTGTGCCACCAGCCCGGGGGCCGGGCGGCGGGGGAAGTGCTCATCTGGACTGCTTTCATGAAATAAAACTTCAGTCCTGCTTAACCACTGCTCTTTGAGGTCTTCTGCTACAAGAGCTGACCTGGTGAGGGGAGTAAACAGGAGTTGCTGGCTGCCAGGGACGTCCCCACATAAGGGAATAGGTCTGTCTGGAAGGTGAGTGAGCAAGTTGTGGGACACAGGGGAGGGCCAGGTGAGAGGACCTCAAAGGCTTTCCTCTGGGGTCATTATTACTGGTCCTCGTGCCTCATGGGGACGCTGTTGCAGGGAACTGTTGGTCCGACCAAGGAGAACCTCAGGCTCAAACTCGAAGTGGGCTCCATGGTGCAGACACCAGAGGACACCAGCGGAAACCTGGGCAGGCAGCCGCCCCTTCCGCCACCCAAAGCCCAGCTCTTTGTGCAAGCGAGGTAACGGACAAAGCGGCTGATTTTGTCCTGTGGGATGTGGGAGGCTATTTGGCTACAGATCTTAGAGCGAAGGTCTACAAACAGTCCGAAGACGAGCATATGCAGGAGCATGGCCAAGGAGGGATGATGCAGTGTCAGCTGGAGGGAGGCTCACATCCTCCCACAGACTGATGCCTCCTTTTCAGAAACTTCTGAAACACGTGGGCAGCATGCTCTTTGGCAATAAAACCCAGTGGATGATTCTGTCTAGTGCTATTAAAAGCTAGAAAGGGTATATATTAAGATACATCAGTTCCTCTTGTTGTAGGAAAGCTGAAAGACAAACAGCCTGTTGCCATGGGTAACAGACTCACTTATGGTATGGGTCTCATTAGTTAAGGCTAGGACCGAAGCCAGACAGTAAAACAGCAAAAGCCTCACTGTGCCTTGCTTCAAAAGCCGAGTGCAAACCTAGCCTGAATTGGTAAAGGAAGGCTGCCCCCTTGTGGCAGAAGTGGGAGAGGCTCCCTTAACTTCAGGGGAAAAGGGGCTGCCAGCCCTGCTACTGGGCTTCCCAAATCCACACCCGCTCCAGGAAGATCCAGCTGCCTTAGGTAGAAAGGCAGGAAGGGCTTGGCATACCTCTGCTGCTCTGGCTTAATGTCAAAGAGGCGCAGCTCCCTCCTCTGCCTGGCGGAGAGGCCTTTGGATTTTTTTTTCTTCTCTTTTTGCTTCCGGCGAGTGGAGTACTCCAGGACCACAGCCTTGCGTTGCAGCTGGTCCTCACGGGCTTGCTGGCTCATGTGGGGCGTGCTGCGCTTCAGGAAGGCCCTCACGAAGGCCTCGGCCTGCTGGGCTCCCAGAAGCTGCATGTGGACAGGGCAGCATGGTGCCCACTGTTCTGGTGGGGGCAGCCCCCGACCCCAGGCCCTCCGACACACCACAGATGGGATGCCTTCACTGACCCATCTGTGTCCCGACTGAGCCTCACACAGCCTCTCATCTGCTGAATGTGAGCCACCCACAGCTGTCCAGATGGGAAAGTCACACTCAAATACCAATTCGCGACTGCCGCACAAAACAGCCACGTCAAAGTCAACTTCCTACTCCACTTCTCTGAGGTTATTTTGACGAGGATTTAAAAAAAACCCCAGCCCTTTACATTAGGAAGAAAAGACTTCTCTGATTCTTGGCAGGGAGGAAAGCTTGAGAAATGTATGACAACAATATTTATTCAGTCGTGACCAGATGAGGGCAAGCTCAGAGTAGAACCAAGCTATGGCCTCGAAGGAAATGATCCTAACACTTGGGAAAATGGTACCTCCTGGTGCCCCAGGGTGGGCCACGCCTTGGGGGGTAGGAATTTTACATGGTGCCCACGCTGCAATCCTCTTTACGTGCCTTTGGCCCCATGGACATGTCACGGCTACTCACTAGGTCTGCTCCCACAGCACTTGGGGGAAGGAAGTAGCAGCGCATCTCAGCCTCCTGCGCTCACTCTCTCCCGCATAGAGCAGAACAGCATTTGACCGTGACCTAGCACAGACTCCTAGGACATGTGGGCAAAAGAACTGTCCTAACTGAGTGCAATTCTTGAGAGAACTCCGAACGTCACTGCCTCTCACGTTGGGACTTCCACCGTCTACTCCTCATTCAGCTGCCCATGTCCTAGGTCGGCCACAGCCAAGGCGGCACTGCCTGCCCAGGTCCTGCCTCTTGGCTGGGGATTTCCTGAACCCCTGTTGCGCTAACCGGGCGGCCAACCCCGTGAAGCTAATGTATCAATAATCATGTTCTCCCTTATGGAGAAGCAGGGTGGCGAGGGTATGATGTGAGACACTCAATCTTCAAGACAGCTCACAGTAAGGATGGCAGTCAGCTTCCGCTTTGCACCTTTAGATACTAACTAAAGATTCATTGTCATCATTATTATTATTGTGACAGGACAATTATTTGCTTCTTTTAAATACCTATGTGGCTCTTCTTCATGAGGAAACCAAAAAAAGGTGTATCAGTCTTTTAAAATCTTAATTTCATGTTAACTCCCTCATTAGGAGTCCCCAGTGGAGTTTCTGCCAAACTGACAAAGCATGTTCGCAGCATCCAGATATAATCCATAAATTCCACTGAGGAAATTGATCTGTCTGCCCTCTTCAAGAGTAAAGGGAGCACAGTGACAAGGATAAATGACAGTGCTCACCAGGACAGGTTTCAGCTGGGCACAGCCCAGGGTCCCCTACACAGTGGGAGATGACACAGGAGCAAGAGGTCCCAGTTAACTGAACAAGGGAAAAAGAGGCCAGCATATGGAAATAGGCCATCAGAACAACAGATCTTGACTGAGCCTAACTCGTCTACTGGAAAGATGAGGAGTAAGATGTGGGAAGGACATCTAAAGCAGTACTAGAGTATCGAGCCATCTCTGTCATCACCTCTGCTGCTCCCAGACTTCCTGCCATGCATTGTACCTGAACGTCGAACTCTTTGGCCTCTTCCTGAGAAAAGGCATGGTAGACCACACCTGGGGAATTCAAACAAACAACAAGAAATGATCAACTCAATTTGGGTATGGCTATAAGACCCACGATTTTTCTAACTATGAAACTAACTATGCTTATTTAGATATAGGAGAAGATGGGGGTGCTACAAAGAGCTCAGGCTTCTTGGATGCCTCTTATTATAGCCTCTGGCTGCCCAGCTTAGGAGTTCCAAGAGTGTGCCTTCAAACAGTGCTTCTCGGGGTGCCTGGGTGGCTCCGTCAGTTGAATGTCCAACTGTTGATTTCGGCTCAGGTCATGATCTCGGGGTCCTGGGATTGAGTCCTGTATCTGGCTCTGAGCTCTAAGGGAGTCTGCTTGAGAATCTCTCTCTCCCTCTGCCCCTCCCCTCCGAGGGCTCTCTCTCTCAATTAAATAAATCTTTAAAAAGAAATAAAAATAAAACAATGCTTCTCAAATATTAATTCATGTAGGAATCTCTAGATTCTTATTAAAATGTAGATACTTGGGCCCCACTCCCAGATCCGGCATCTCTTTTTTTTTTTTTTTTTA